CAATTCTTTCAGATATATAGATCCAGCAGTGAGATTGTTAGATCATGTAACAGTTTTAGTTTCTTGAGGAACTTCCATACTGTCTTCCACAGTGGTGGCACCATTTTAAATCCCCACCAAATGTGCACAAGCGTTCCAATTTCTCTATATGCTTGCCAATATTTACCTTTTCTTTCTTTTGATAACAGCCATCCTAATGTGTGAGGTGATATCTCACCGTGGCTTTGATCTGTATTTCCCTGATGATTAGTGATTTTGAGCACCTCTTTTTTTTTTTTTTTTTTTTGAGATGGAGTCTCGTTCTTGTTGTTGCCCAGGCTGCGGTGCAATGGCGCAATCTTGGCTCACTGCAATCTCCACCTCCTGGGTTCAGGCAGTTCTCCTGCCTCAGCCTCCTGAGTAGCTGGGATTATAGGCATGTGTCACCACGCCCAGCTAATTTTTTGTATTTTTTTTAGTAGAGACAGGGTTTCACTTTGTTGACCAGGCTGGTCTTGAACTCCTGACCTCAGGTGATCTGCCAGCCTCGCCCTCCCAAAGTGCTGGGATTACAGGCGTGAGCCACCACACATGGCCTTGAGCACCTTTTCCAAAAAACCAATATACTTGTTGGTTATTTGTATGTCTTCTTTAGAAAAATGTCTATTCAAGTCCTTTGCCCATTTTTTAAATGGGTTATTTAGGGGTTTTTTGGATACTGATGTGTAAGAGTTCCTTATATATTTTAGACATTAACCCCTTATCAGATATATGGTGTGCAAATATTTTCTTCCCTGGAATTGTTTTCTTAATTTCATTAGTGAATTATTCATTTATTTATTTATTGAGAGGATCTCACTCTGTCACCCAGGCTGAAGTACAGCAGTGGAAATGCAGTTCACTGCGGCCTCGGCCTGCTGGGCTCAAGTAAATCTCCCACCTCAGCCTCCCAAGTAGCTGGGACCACAGGTGTGCACCACCACCCCCAGCTAATTTTTCATACTTTTGGTAGAGACAGGGTCTTGCCATATTGCCCAGGCTGCTCTCAAACTTCTGGGCTCAAGCAATCCTCCTGCCTCTGCCTCCCAAAGTGTTGGGATTACAAGCATGAGCCATCATGCCAGGCTAGGGCTGAATAAATTAATGAGAGAATAAAAACAGTGTTTTCATGTTTCTTACATGGATGAACTTTAAGTTTTTTAAGTTTTCTGTCATCCTTGTTTTATTTATTTGTTTGTTTGTTTGTTTGAGACAGGGTCTCACTCTGTTGTCCAGGCTGGAGCACTCTGGTGCCATCACAGCTCACACAGCCTTAACTTCCTAGGCTCCAGTGATCCTCCCACCTCAGCCTCCAGAGTAGCTGGGATTATAGACATGGGCCACCATGCCCAGCTAATTTTTTATTTTTTGTAGAGATGAGATCTTGCTATGTTGCCCAGGCTGGTCTCCAACTTCTGGACTCATGAGATTCTCCCACCTCAGCCTCACGAAGTGTTGGAATCACAGGTGTGAGCCACCACACCCAGCCTGTATATTGATTTTCAAATATAATCATTTTGATAGCAGGGATATCTTCTTATTCATCTTTGCATTTATGGCAAATAGTAGGCAACTTAATAAATGTGTTGAAGAAATGGAATATAGCAAAACTTTGAATTAGCCATTTCTATTAAAAGGGAAAGGAGACCAGTCTGGGTAATGTAGTGAGACCCCCATCTCTACAAAAACATTAAAAAATTAGCTGAGCGTGGTGGTACACACCTGTATTCCCAGCTACTCAGAAGGTTTAAGGTTGTAGTGAGCTATGATCGCACCATTGCACTCCATCTGGAGTGACATGGAGAGACCCTGTGACCACCCCCCAGAAAAAAGGGAAAGAAGAGAGCTTTACTTTTTTCTTTTCTTCTCTTTTGAGACAGTCTCATTCTGTCACCCAGGCTGGAGTATAGTGGTGCAATCTCGGCTCACTGCAGCCTCTGCCTCCCAGGTTCAAGCAATTCTCCTGCCTCAACCTTCTGAGTAGCTGGGATTACAAGCATCCACCACTATGCCTGGCTAATTTTGTATTTTTAGTAGAGACAGGGTTTTACCACACTGGCCAGGCTGGTCTCGAACCCCTAACTTCAAGTGATCCATCTGCCTTAGCCTCCCAAAATGCTGTGATTACAGGTGTGAGCCACTGCGTCCAGCCAGCATTACTTTTTTCAAGGGTTAAGAACATGTCTTTGAATATCTTGATAACTTGCTTGAGTGAATTGTCGTATAAAGTTTTGCACATAGTTGTTGATCGACTGCTAAGTAAGAGGACGCTCATACCGCAAACTCTCAGTACTTGCTCCAAAGAACTTCACAGCAAAAGATCTGCAATGTGCTAAGTAATTAATGATTTTATATTTATCCTACAACTTGCTGCTTCTCAAATGTCTAACTAGATCTCTAAACTCATGCCTAGAGGATTAATTTAATGAGTAAAATCAAAGGCAACTGAAAATAACAGCTGGCTGGGCACAGTGGCTCACGCCTGTAATCCCAACAGTTTGGAAGGCAGGCGGGAGTATCGCTTGAGCCCAACAGTTCCAGACTGGCCTGGGCAACATGGCAAAACTCTGTTTCTACAAAAAACTTGAAAAACTAGCCGGGTGTGGTGGTGCATGCCTGTGGTTCCAGCTACTCCAAAGGCTGAGGTGGGAAGATTACTTGAGTCTGCAAGGCCAAGGCTGCGGTGAGCTATGATTGTGCCACTGCACTCTGGTCTGGGCAACAGAGTGAGATTCTATCTCCAAAAAAAAAAAAAAGCGAAAAGAAAGAAAGTTTAGGAATATAATCCAATGAGTAAGAAGAGCTTTCAAATATACCTTCTATTTAAGATAAAATGAATTTTTATCCTGTTTTATTTAAAAGCTAGAGAGAAGTCAGGCGTGATGGCTCATGTCTATAATCCCAACATTTTGGGAGGTAGAGACAGCAGTATTGCTTGAGCCCAGGAGTTCAAGACCAGCCTGGGCAACATAGTGAGATTTCATGTCTATAGAAAATACAAAAATTGCCGGGCGCGGTGGCTCAAGCCTGTAATCCCAGCACTTTGGGAGGCCGAGACGGGCGGATCACGAGGTCAGGAGATCGAGACTGGCTAACACAGTGAAACCCCGTCTCTACTAAAAAATACAAAAAACTAGCCGGGCGAGGTGGCGGGCGCCTGTAGTCCCAGCTACTCCGGAGGCTGAGGCAGGAGAATGGCGTGAACCCGGGAGGCGGAGCTTGCAGTGAGCTGAGATCCGGCCACTGCACTCCAGCCTGGGTGACAAAGTGAGACTCCGTCTCAAAAAAAAAAAAAAAAAAAAAGAAAATACAAAAATTAGCTGGGGCTCGTGATATGCGCCTGTGGTTCCAGCTACTCGAAGGCTGAAGTGGGAGGATACTTGAGCCCAGGAGGTTGAGGCTGCCATGAGTTGTGACCATGCTACTGCACTCCAGCCTGGGTGACAGAGTGAGACTCCATCTCAATAGATAAATAAATAACAAAAGCTAACAAGCAAAAGTCTAATTCACTTGTAAGACTAATATAAAGTGCTACCACATTAAAAAGACCTCTCGCTGGGCACGGTAGCTCACTCCTGTAATCCCAGTGTTTTGGGAGGCTGAGGCAGGAGGACTGCTTTGAGAAAAAATATACAATTTTAAAACTAGTTTTTGTTTCCTTGTTTAAGAATCAGGGACTTTTCAGACTGTACAGAAAGGAGGGAAGCAGGTCTTCCCTTGGGAGGATGACTGAAAGGCCAGTGGAGGAAAGTTGTCAGCCCATTGTCAGGTCAGCATCAGGCCTTTACCAAGCCTGTTGGCACTAAAAAGTAACAGATCAAGTACTCAAAATGTGAAATATATTTATTTTGAATTTAGAAATTCAAACAACAGTGATACTATTGTATCACATCAGTTATTCAAAAAAATGTGAAATCTCCCCAAAAAAAAAAAAAAAAATTAAGAACTTTTAAATCTCCAAGACAGTTTTCAGTTTTATTTGAATTAATCTCCAGTGGAAAATACTGAGGAACAGATCTAAATGACTTAGGGAAAAATAAGTCATAACAGGAAAAATAACATACTAAAACAAATTCAAAATTTTGCTCAATGCTTTGCATTTTTTCCTCATAACAAATATCACCAAATTTTATTTCTGCTCTAAGAATATTAAAAACAAACCAAAAACCTCAGTGTTCTTCCTCATATGTCCACTTCTCAAAGGCTTACAACTTCTCTAACAGTAAGGAAACAAAAAAAGGGACTAATTATTAATTTCTCAATTGCAGGAGACTTTGTTAGGCAAACAGTAAATTGTTAGAGAAGACGGTAAATCAAATGTAGTTTCCAAGAGAGATTATTTTTCTCATGTGTCACAAACTCTACTGAACCTTTCAGGATAACTAGAAAGAACTGTAACACAGAAGAATATGTCTAATGCAAGAGAAAAGATAGAAAAAAGAAATTAAGCTGGGTGTGGTGGCTTACACCTGCAATCCCAGCACTTTGAGAGGCCAAGGCAGGCAGATTACTTGAGCACAGGCATTTGAGAGTATCCTGGGCAACACGGTGAGACCCTATCTCTCCAAAAGATAAAAGAAAATTAGTTGGGCATGGTGGCATACACCTATAGTCTCAGCTACCTGGGAGGCTACAGTGGGAGGATCACCGGAGCCCTGGAGTTTGAGGCTGCAGTGAGCCAAGACTGTGCCACTGCACTTCAGCCTGGGTGACTGTCTTAAATTTTTTTTAATGTTAAAAATAGATAAATAAAAAAAAATTAAACACTTCTCAAAAGTCGCTAGAGGGCACAATTTAGTTGTTAAGGAAATGTCAAGTTTTCCATTTGTGGCTTCAAGTTTTTAAGTAACAACAACTTGAAAACCTAACAAAATATACTGGAAAAAAATTATTTTATCTTCCTTCCCAGCTATATCCGCAAAATAAAAGAAAAAGCAAACAATAAAGAGATGCAGTTGACAAGTTAGTCATCTGTAACTCACCTTCAGGAAACATAAAATGTATTTCTCTTTCCGCAGCAGCAAAGTCATTACTCCCATGAAGTGCATTCCTTAGGTCATCTGTGCCATAAATTGCCCTTAGACTAAAAACAAGTTAGAGATGATGTTCATCCAGTCTGACATCTATTCCTTACTTTATATGCATGCATTCCACTTAAGAATTTTACAGGCCGGGCGCGGTGGCTCAAGCCTGTAATCCCAGCACTTTGGGAGGCCGAGACGGGCGGATCACGAGGTCAGGAGATCGAGACCATCCTGGCTAACACGGTGAAACCCCGTCTCTACTAAAAATACAAAAAACTAGCCGGGCGAGGTGGCGGGCGCCTGTAGTCCCAGCTACTCCGGAGGCTGAGGCAGGAGAATGGCGTGAACCCGGGAGGCGGAGCTTGCAGTGAGCTGAGATCCGGCCACTGCACTCCAGCCTGGGTGACAGAGCGAGACTCCGTCTCAAAAAAAAAAAAAAAAAAAAAAAAAAATTTTACAAAAGCATTGCCACTTCTTACATATGAAAGCTTCACAATTTATGTCAAATTTAAGCTTAAATTTAAGCTTATCTATCTAGATAAGGATCAAATATATTCACGTCTGCAGGAGGAATACACTGGGAAAACAGGATTTCTCTGGATAAAAACGTGGTGGTGTTTTGTAAGAAGTAAAAAAGCAATGCACATTCAAAAGTGCAAGAACTCAATATCTTATTTCCATACATTAGCAATAATGCTGAAAATTTGAATTTCTGTTCCTGTATTACCATTATTATTTTAACATACCATCCCAATTTTTCCATCTAAAAATCCTACTTCAGTGGCAGTTTCAAGGTTGAGAGAATAAGGGTAATCAACTATAAATCAGACATTCTCTGATGCTTTTTCTGGCATGTAGTATTAAGATAGGCATTTAACACTTTAAAATGTAAAATGGACCCCCAGGCCCCGCCCCCTCCCCCCCCCAAAAAAAAAAGCTGATTTTGGAAAACTTCCAAATAATAAAACAAAAATTCCCATTACAATGAAATTAGTTTTTTTTTTTTTTTCATTTTCACAGATGGATTCCATTCCCTGCCATCCCCCCAACCCTGAAAATTACCTGTCTGGATGTGTCTCCTTCGCTACTAAGCTATTATTTGGTCCCAAAAGTTCTAACCAATAAGAGATGGCTTTATGTCTAGCTAATATCATGGCGACAAGTGGTCCAGAACTCATGTAAGCTGTTAAATTGGGGAAAAACATTTTTCCATACTGTTCCACATAAAAGTTACTACATTGCTCAGGGCTGAGGTGTAGTTTTCTTCTCTATAAAAGACACAAAGTCAACAAAAGCATTTAAAATGACAGTTCAATGATAGCTCATTAAAATCATTACTAACTTGAAACTAGTACCAATCTGATTATAACTTCGAGGTTTATCTTTGTATTATGAAGAAAGAAAAGGATATAATTAAATGTATGTTGTAAATAAGATAGTAAGAGGAATTACTTCGCCTACTTAAGAAAAATTATGGCCAGGTGCAGAGGCTCATGCCTGTAGTCCTAGCACTTTGGGAGGCCGAGGCCAGCGGATTGTCTGAGCTCAGGAGTTCGAGACCAGCCTGGGCAACATGGTGAAATCACGTATCTACTAAAATTCAAAAAATTGGCTGGGCGTGGTGGCATGTGCCTGTAGTCCCAGCTACTCAGAAGGCTGAGGCAGAATTGCCTGAACCCGGGAGGTGGAGGTTGCAGTGAGCCAAGACTGCACCACTACACTCCAGTCCGGGCGACAAAGAAAAATTATTCCAGTTAGGCAGCCTCCCTCAGCATATGGTTTGTTAGTAACAAATTTATCACATCTCCTTCTTAAAGTAAATAACTCTTTAATTAATAAAACTGGACTTAATATTTCAAATTCATGTTTCTCTATTAGTGTTACTATTTTGGGAGCTGGTCTCATTAAGTATGAGAAATTATGAGTTATTTCTCATACTTAGAAATAACAGCTAGGCATAGTGGCTCATGCCTGTAATCCCAGCATTTTGGGAGGCCAAGGCGGAAGGATCGCTTCAGCCCAGCCAGGAGTTAGAGAGCAGCCTAAGCAACACAGGGAGACATTGTTTCTATGAAAAATTTTAAAATTAGTCAGGTATGGTGGTGTGTGCCTGTAATCCCCACTAAATTAGAGGTAGTGAGCCATGATAACACAATTGCACTCCAGCCTGGGCGATAAAGCAGACCCTGTATCAAATAAACTAACAAAAAAAGTAATATGTAGTATAATGATGCAGTAAAAAAGTTTTTCATTTGAACATGTGTGTTCTTTATTCTGGTTCTGTCATAAATATCTTGATTCACTGTAACATGAAGAAAAATTAGGCCAGGCGAGGTGGCTCAGGCTTGTAATCCCAACACTCTGGGAGGCCAAGACAGGCAGATCACTTGAGGTCAGGAGTTCAAGAACAGTCTGACCAACATAGTGAAACCCCATCTCTAATAAAAATACAAAAATTAGGCCGGGCGCAGTAGCTCACGCCTGTAATTCCAGCACTTTGGGAAGCCGAGGTGAGTGGATCACCTGAGGTGAGGAGTTGGAGACTAGTTTGGCCAACATGGTGAAATGCCATCTCTACTGAAAATACAAAAAATTAACCAGGTGTGGTGGCACGCGCCTGTGATCCCAGCTACTCGGGAGGCTGAGGCAGGAGAACAGCTTGAACCTGGGAGGCGGAGGTTGTAGTGAGCCGAGATCACGTCATTGCACTCCAGCTTGGGCAACAAGAGCGAAACTCTGCCTCAAAAAAAAAAATAAAATAAAAATCAGCCGGGCATGGTGGTACATGCCTGTAGTCCTAGCTACTCGGGAGGCTGAGGCAGGCCAACAGCTCGAACCCGGGAGGCAGAGGTTGCAGTGAGCCAAGATTGCACCTCTCTACTCCAGCCTGGGTGACACAGTGAGACTCCGCCTAAAAAAAAGAAAAAAGAAAAATCAGGCTGGTGTGGTGGCTCATTCCTGTAATCCCAGCACTTTGAGAAAGAAGAGACAGGTGGATCACCTGAGATCAGGAGTTCGAGACCAGCCTAGCCAACATGGTGAAACCTGTCTCTACTAAAAATACAAAAATTAGGCCAGACGCAGTGGCTCACGCCTGTAATCCCAGCACTTTGGGAGGCAGAGGCGGGTGGATCACCTGAGGTCGGGAGTTCAAGACCAGCCTGGCCAACATGATGAAATCCCGTGTCTACTAAAAAAAAAAACAATACAAAAAATACAAAAAATTAACCAGGCGTGGTAGTGGGCACCTGTAATCCCAGCTGCTTGGGAGGCTGAGGCAGGAGAATCACTCGAACCCAAGAGGCGGAGGTTGCAGTGAGCCGAGATCATGCCACCTCACTCCAGCCTGGGCAACAAGAGTGAAACTCCGTCAAAAAAAAAAAAAATACAAAAATTAGCCAGGCGTGGTGGTGCATGTCTATAATCCTAGCTACTCAGAAGGCTGAAGCATGAGAATTGCTTGAACCCAGGAGGCAGAAGTTGTGGTGAGCCAAGATCGAGATAGCGCCATTGCATGCCAGCCTGGGTAACAGAATGAGACTCTGTCTAAAAAATAAAAAAAAAAAATTAGTTGCTAGTATGTATCTCAATCTGAAAGACTATGAAACATTCTGGACAAACAGATGTTATTTCCTTCACAAATGAGACTATAAAAATTAATCGAGTTTTAAAAAATCATGGTTGCTGAGTCTAATTTGAAAGTATCATGCTTTCTCTAGAAGCAGCTATCTTGAGTGCCTTTTTTTTTTTTCAAGGCGTGAGCCACTGCGCCCAGCCTTGAAGGTTTTTTTGTTTGTTTGTTTGAGACAGTGTTTTGCTCTTGCTGGAGTGCAATGGTGCCATCTCGGTTCACTGAAACCTCCGCCTCCCGGGTTCACGTCATTCTCCTGCCTCAGCCTCCCGAGTAGCTGGGACTACAGGCGCCTGCCACCTCGCCCGGCTAAGTTTTTTTTGTATTTTTAGTAGAGACAGGGTTTCACTGTGTTAGCCAGGATGGTCTCGATCTCCTGACCTCGTGATCTGCCTGTCTCGGCCTCCCAAAGTGCTGGGATTACAGGCTTGAGCCACCGTGCCCGGCCGCCTTGAAGGTTTTTAAAAATTATTTATTATTGCCAGCCGGGCTCAGTGGCTCATGCCTCTAATCCCAGCAATCTGGGAGACCAAGGCAGGCAGATTGCTTGAGCCCAGGAGTTCAACACCAGTCTGGGCAACATGGCGAAACCCCATCTCTACAAAAAACACAAAAATTGGTGGTGCACACCTGTAGTCTCAGCTAATCGGGAGGCTGAGGCACGAAACTTGCTTGAACCCAGGAGGCAGAGGTTGCAGTGAACCGAAATCATGCCATTGCACTCCAGCCTGGGCAACACAGTGAGACTTGGTCTCAAAAGAAAAAAAAATGTATTACTACTGTTTTTTCAATTCCACTAAAGGTGGGTCAGGAGGGAAAATGCTCAAAATATAACAGAGGGATTCAAAGTAGAAATCAAAGAACCTCTGCCTGGAGTAAGGATGATGAGACATGGAGGTATGTCACTAAGGGAAGGCTAAAAATCCCCATGATTATGGCAGAAATCTGTCTTTCTAAAATGTCTTAGATTTTCCTGAGAGTAAGTGTGAATTTTACCAAGTGACCCACCTCTTAAAGCCCTTTCCAAAACTCCGTGTTTCCGCAGGCTTCAGAAACTTGGTAAAATTGCTTGGTTTGTAGCAAGGGACCAAACTGCCCAGAGCAAGAAGTTTGGCAAGACGCTTACCTAGGTGGCGCAGCTCTGCTATGAATAGGACCTGCTGGACAAGTGTAACATTCTCACCAGTGAAGGGCCAGTTACTATGAAAAAGGTGCTGACATTTGTTCTCAAATTGAAATTCATATAGTGAATAAATAAAAGATGTCAGAAATTACAAGAGCACCTGCTTTAGCATAACCCTCAATTCTATTATCTAAAATTAAGACATGAAACTATTTATGATTATGTATGTTAAGTGTTTTTATTTTTCTTGCTGAGTTTAAAAATAAAATCTCATCTGTTGAAATGTAAGCCCTTATCTGCCATTTGCCCCTTAAAAAGCAGGAGAACCTATCTTCTGCAGGTATGCCAGCCAATGTAGCACAATTTTAAAAATTAAGGGTTCATCTTTAACTAAAATTGATACTAAATCAATTATTCCATTGGTTGCTTTAAAATTGGATCAGGTGAAATTTTTTGAAATTATATTGGATAGTCTACAGCCATACCACCCTGAACATGCCCAATCTCATCTGAAATTAGGTTGAATATTTTCACAAAGAGCAGTATATCAAGTACTATCAGAACAGAACTCTTAGTTTGTAACGAAGGCAACACTGCCATCTATTGAAACGATATATCATTTTTCAGCTTTTCCCTTAGGTGGGACAGGAAAGCCTCAAGTTCAATGGACTCCCAAGCCTATTTTAAAAGCATACAGCGCAAAGGACAAAACTTGCATAATTTCACTTAAATGAGATAGCTTGAATAGTCAAATTCCTACAGACAGCAAGTAGAATAGTGGTTATTGTGGATGGGGAAGAGGGAAGCAATGAGTTAGCATTTGGTAGAGTGTTTCAGTTTAAGATGAAAAGGTTCTAGAGATGGACAGTAGTAATGGTTGTACAACAATGTGAATGTACTTAATGCAACTGAAATGTACACTTAAAAATGGTTAAAATGATAAATTTTATGTTATGTATATTTTACCGCAATAAAAGCAAAAAATGAAGGATATACCATAGCTGCCTTCGCTCTGAAAGTTAACCAGGGAAAGTGTCATATATATTTACAATAAATTTTGTTTGTTTGTTTGTTTGTTTTTTCTGGTCTCAGTACATTGCCCAGGCAATCTCAGTTCACTGCAACCTCCACCTCCCAGGTTCAAGTGATTCTCCAGCCTTGCCTCCTGAGTAGCTGGGATTACAGGCATGCGCCACCACACCCAGCTACTTTTTGTTTGTTTGTTTTTTGAGATGAGTCTTGCTCTGTTGCCCAGGCTGGAGCGCAGTGGCAAAATCTTGGCTCACTGCAACCTTCATCTCCCGGATTCAAGCAATTCTCCTGCCTCAGCCTCCCGAGTAGCTGGGATTACATGCTCCCACCACCACGCCCAGCTAATTTTTGTGTTTTTAATAGAAATGGGGCTTCACCATGTTGGCCAGGCTGGTCTCGCACTCCTGACCTCAGGTGATCCACCCATCTCGGCCTCCCAAATTGCTGGGATTGCAGGCATGAGCCACTGTGCCCAGCCCTAATTTTGTATTTTTAGTAGAGATAAGGTTTCACCACGTTGGCCAGGTTGGTCTTGAACTTCTGACCTCAGTGATCCACCCGCTTCATCCTCCCAAAGTGCTGGGATTACAGGCCTGAGCCACCATGGCCGGCCAATTTTTAATTTATAATTAACACTAGCCACTTAATTATTAAGTTTGTCACTAAATATTTTTTAAAATATGGACCTTTTTTTTCTTTTTCTTTTTCTTTTTTGAGACGGAGTCTCACTCTGTCACCCAGGCTGGAGTGCAGGGGCATGATCTTGACTCATTGCAACCTCCGCCTCCCGGGTTGAAGCGATTCTCCTGTCCTAGCCTCCCTAGTAGCTGAGATTACAGGCACGTGCCACCACGCCCAGGTAATTTTCATATTTTTAGTAGAGATGGTGTTTCACCGTGTTGGTCAGGTTGGTCTCGAATTCCTGACCTCAGGTGATCCACCCACCTTGGCCTCCCAAAGTGCTGGGATTACAGGCATGAGCCACCACACCCGGCCAAAATATGGCCTTTTAAAAAACTTAAATGGGACACCTTTATCCGTATACTTCATTTGTTTTTTCTAAAGTTAATGGGTAATATAATTACAGGATTCAAAAATTCAAAGCAATACAAAAAAGTATGTACTGAAAAATCATATTCCTATCCATGTCCTAATCTACCCAGTTCTTCCTTGCCCGCAATAGGTAACCCTTTTCAAATGTTTGTTTTATTCCGCCAGAATTTCATTTTTCAAATATTGGCAAACATGAATATATTACTTTGTCTCTATCACAAAAGGTTGGTACACATGATTTTGCTTTTTTTGCTATGTTGCTCTTTTTGCTACACACTTTGCTTTCTTCCATAACAGTACAGATGGGTTCCTCATTCTTCTATTTAGAATTATTTGCACATTATGCAATTTGGTGGGTTCTCCAGAGTTTATTTAGTCCTGTTTCCTAATCTCCCAACCTGGGTTATTTTCAATCTTTTGTTGATAACTAAACAATGCTGCAAAAAATAACCTGCATATATATCACTTCTTATTAATACAGGCACTTACTGACAGGACTGAACAGGGCTCTGCGCATGACAGGTAGTAAGAGCACAAGGAATTCTATAGGACAGATTTCCAAGAGCAGAACTGCTGGATTAAATGGTAAGTCCATCTGTTGTATTGGTCGATAACTGCCAGATTCCCTTTGACAGGGGTTGTGCCATTTACTTTTATATTTTTGCCAAATGGAATCTCAGTGTAGTTTTAACTTGCTTTTTTTCCCACCTAAAGATTGAGCATCATTTCATACATTTTAAAAATGATTTTCTTTTTCTGTGACCATCCATCTGTTCTGCCCACTTTTCTACTATTTATTTTTATCTTTTTCTAGGAGCTCTTTATATATTAGGAAGACTAGTCCGTCGTCTATGAGTGGCAAATCTTTTCCTCAAGCTTGTTTTGACTTTGCTTATGGTGTTTATTTCATTGTGCAGACATTTTTTGTTTATATAATCTTTTAAATTTTTTTTTTTTTGAGACGGAGTCTCGCTCTGTCGCCCAGGCTGGAGTGCAGTGGCCGGATCTCAGCTCACTGCAAGCTCTGCCTCCCAGGTTTACGCCATTCTCCTGCCTCAGCCTCCCGAGTAGCTGGGACTACAGGCGCCCGCCACCTCGCCCGGCTAGTTTTTTGTATTTTTTAGTAGAGACGGGGTTTCACCGTGTTAGCCAGGATGGTCTTGATCTCCTGACCTCGTGATCTGCCTGTCTCGGCCTCCCAAAGTGCTGGGATTACAAGCTTGAGCCACCACGCCCGGCCTAAAAATTTTTTTATTTTTTTATTTTTGAGACAGAGTTTCGCTCTTGTTGCCCAGGCTGGAGTGCAATGGCATAATCTGGGCACACCGCAACCTCCACCTCCCAGGTTCAAGCGATTCTCCTGCTTCAGCCTCCTGAGTAGCTGGGATTACAGGCATGCACCACTATGCCTGGTTAATTTTGTATTTTTTAGTAGAGACAGGGTTTCTCCATGTTGGTCAGGCTGGTCTTGAACTCTCGACCTCAGGTGTTCCACTAGCCTTGGCCTTCCGAAGTGCTGGGATTACAGGCAGGAGCCACAGTGCCTGGCCTTGTTTATATGATCTTATCAACCTTTTCTTCCATGGCTCCTAGATCTTAAGTCATAATAAAAAAAGGCTGTCCTACTCCTACAACAAAACAAATCCATTATCTTTTCTTCTTGAACTTACATGGTTTAATTTTTTAAATATTTAGATCTCAGGTTCATTTGGAGTTTATCCTGGTATATAATACTTGATCCAACTTTTTCAGTGGCTACCAGTTTTCCTAACGTTTACTAAAAAGTTCTTTACCTGAGTCTTTAATTATATTAAGTATTTCCTAACACTTTCTTGTACCATCCCTACCCTCGGACTCCACCTGTCCTTCGAAGCGCAACTGAAATTCCACGTCTTTTCTGAAGATTGATATTTTCTCTTTATTTTATTTATTAATTATTATTATTATTATTATTTGAGACAATATCCCTCTATTGCCTAGGCTGGAGTGCGATGGCATAATCTCGGCTCACTGCAACCTCCGCCTCCCGAGTTCAAGCGATTCTCCTGCCTCAGCTTCCCAAGTAGCTGGGACTACAGGTGCGTGCCACCATGCCCAGCTAATTTTTGTATTTTTCATAGAAAGGGGGTTTCACCATATTGGCCAGGCTGGTCTCAAACTCCTGACCTTATGATTCACCCACCTCGGCCTTCCAAAGTGCTGGGATTACAGGCATAAGCCACCGTACCCGGCCATTTTCTCTTTATTTTTAAAAATACTGACTGAATAAGCAATATGACACGTATAAATGTGAGAAAATAAAAAATTGGAAATTCAAATAAGAATACTATAAAAGAGGCCAGGTGCAGTGGTTCACACCTGTAATCCCAGCACTTTGGAAGGCTGAGGCGGGTGGATCACGAGGTCAGGAGTTCAAGACCACCCTGGCCAACATGGTAAAACCCTGTCTCTACTAAAAATACAAAAATTAGCTGGGCATGGTGGCGCATGCCTGTAATCCCTGCTACTCAGGAGGCTGAGGCAGGAGAATGGCTTGAACCTGGGAGGTGGAGGTTGCAGTGAGTTGAGATTGTGCCACTGCACTCCAGCCTGGGCTACAGAGGGAGACTCTGTCTCAAAAAAAAAAAAAAAAATCAAAAAAAGGAAGATTAAAAATATTCAATTCTGTTTGATTATCCTTAACAATGCTATTTATACTCACTTTCTTTTTTTTTTTTTTTGAGATGGAGTCTCGCTCTGTCGCCCAAACTGGAGTGCAGTAGCCGGATCTCAGCTCACTGCAAGCTCCGCCTATCAGGTTCACGCCATTCTCCTGCCTCAGCCTCCCGAGTAGCTGGGACTACAAGCGCCCGCTACCTCGCCCGGCTAGTTTTTTGTATTTTTTAGTAGAGACGGGGTTTCACCGGGTTAGCCAGGATGGTCTCGATCTCCTGACCTTGTGATCCGCCCGTCTCAGCCTCCCAAAGTGCTGGGATTACAGGCTTGAGCCACCGCGCCCGGCCTATACTCACTTTCAAACCCCTAGAATGACAATGTTTACTAATTGCAGAACAAATGTAAGGCTTAAAACATTAAATGTTTGCAGTAACTGAAAAAAATACCAATAGCCTAAAATTCCATCAATAGAGGATCAAGTAAATAAATTGTAGTTCTAATACACAGGGAAATATTACACAGAAATTCGGAAGAGTGAGATCAATTCAGATGTACTGATCTGGAATCCTATCTGAGGGACTCTGTAAAGGGGGTCAAAGGAAAGGGACTGCTCTGTTTTATGGGGGGAAAATATGTATAAATGCATAGAAAACTCCTGGAAGAACAGAAAGTGTTAAGAGGTTGCCTCTCTCTGGAGCCTGGGACTTGAGGTGGGAGAGGACAGGTGAAGGAAAAGTCCATTTTATTTCTCATTTTATATCTTCTTAAAAACTATCACATATAACTTTTATACTTAGAAGAATAAACTTAAATTTAATGCTGAACACTAAGGGTTTAAATGGGTAAGCACATTTACATAAGCATTTTTTTTAAGGGCAGAGAGGAAAAAAGCATGAATCATACCCAGAAGTTACCTGAACAATGGTGAATCCGGATCTGAGAATAATATCTTGTATCTCCTCCTCTTTGTCAACAATATCTGGTTTGATAATGGCCAGAGTTTTTTCTACATATATCTGAGGTGGAGGCATTGATATCTCCATTATGGCTTTTCAGGGCACAAATTGCGAGTTTCTTAACAGTATCAACTGCAATGACACGCATTTCCCCCCCATCGCAAATTCAATGTAATTATGATTAAGAATAGCAATAGTAGGTACTTGATTTTATTAACTGATGAAGGTAGAAACTGCCATATTTTTCTATATACAGGGTCTCAATAATAGGATTCCTACTATGTCCAAATCGAGCCTCGGCTTTTCGTACACGCTGTCACCGAGGCGGAAAGGACTATGGGCTCACATGACCAGAGGCCAAGGGGCGATCGAAGGTATGGAACCAGCGACAGCCTCAGGCAGCAGAGGGCGGTGTGGCGGGTGGTGGGGGGGGCTCGAGGGGGCGGTGACTGGTGGGCAACCACACACCACTACAGCGGGGCGTGAGCAGCCTCGGTCGGCTGCCTCTGTGAAGCGACCCTGTCCCGCAGGGACCTCTCTGTGCATAGGGTCAGGCCTAATTGGAAAGCAGGGCCTCTGGGTCCGCGGGGACTTTCTGTATTGCATCTGCAAATTCTGAATTTGACTCTTAAGTACTCACCTCCGCGGCCGTCCTCGTACGCTACAACTTGTTGCTAGGAGACTTGAGGCCCCAGCGTGAGGACGGTGGCTGCAGAGGGCCAATCCCAGCAAGAAGCCTTGCAGCATCTGGCCAGTTCGTTTTAACCAAAGGGAACAGCCAGTCATTTTTATTCTCCTTGTGAATCTTAGATCACTAGATGTTTTCTGACATTTTACTCATAACTTATGTCATCCTTCTGCCAGTTTGAAGGATGCTGCAATTATCCCTACTCTATAAATGATAAGAACCCCCCCCCCCATTCCTTTCCAGGTGGTAAATGTAAGAAGACCCATGTCAGATACCTTCATTTCGCTGGATGATGCTGTCCCCTCTATGCTCAGCTTATCTAGTCATTAAAAAGCAATATTCCGTTTGTGTAAAGACATTTATTTATAGAGTAAAAGGCTTAGTAAAATATCTAATCGAATTGTCTTTAAATCAAGCCTATGGAACAAAGATGTGGGCAACATTTATGGCATAAACCCAAACCTCAGCTTCCCCTTTTTTTCTTTATATTATGTCCACATGGATCTTTGACTCGTTGGTTGTGAGTTAAGGCATTATTCTTATTTGAAAAGAAAGTAGGGACATGGCAAAGAAGTCCCAGGATCCTCTGTAGGTCAGAGTTCGGGGAGAGGTTGAAACTCTAGAAAAAGTCAGGATAGCAGCTGCAGGTTAGAAAACAGGTTTTCCATCATCCACTGGATTGGCTGGTTCCCCTTCCAGACTACTTGAGCCTTTTCTTTTGTCTAACCAAATATTCAGTACCTAAAGGGTTAAGGAACACATAGCAAGCTATTATGAACCCTAAACGCTGAAGTATTGCAAGTTTTTTTTTTGGCAAATAGACTCAACTATACTTTTTTCTTTAAAGTATAATGCTACCCAGAAAAGAAACCCACAAATGTCTTCTAGCTACTATATCTTATCCCCTAAAGATGGGAAAGTGTGAACATACATTAATATCAACAGATGAAGCAACCAAAAAATACACAGTCACTCCGGCCTCTTTGAAGTTTAGCCCTTGACTTGAGGCTCTGGAAGCGGGAATTCCCATTACTTGTCTATCCTCAGCTCTCTTGAGAGCTCTTCACTGCTGCCTGCATTCCTAGACGACTTCACTATCAAAGCTGGACTTACTGTGAGGCTCAGGGTTTTCCAAACCAGCTGGCACATTATCAATCCTTCAGGGCCTAATCACCTTTAAAAGTAAACTCTGAGAACACAAAGTCACCTCAAAATCACCTTTATTCTCATAGAATCTTGATCTGAAATCAAGATTCCAGAGGCTACAGATCTCTACATACACTACCTGAATCTGCTCCAGGACTTCTCGCCGCATCTCCACAGCCATATGGTATACGTGATGATCAGAGTCATTGTACATTACAGCATTTTGGAACATCAGCATCAGGTCTCGCTGGAATTGGGCCATGGTGCGAATCCGACCTTTAGAGAGATTTCTCTTCAGGCTAGTTAAGTCCATGGGTCTGCAGGTGACCAAGAAAAAATAAAGAAAATCAAACATTTGTGTGGAACATGATAACCTAACATGTTCTCTTGAAGAACTAACCAGTTCTTAATGAAAACAGTAACAAAGACAACAACCCTCATCAGATAATAAAATAGCAACAGCAGTTAATATTTGCCTGTTTACAATAGGCCAAACACTGTATTTCTATACTAACTCAATCCTTTCAATAAACCTGTAAGGTAGGTATCATTAATATCTCCTATTTTTTTTTCTGTTTAAGTTCAGAGTTCCTCTTGTGCACTTTTTCTTTTTTTTTTTTTTTTTTTTTTTTTTGAGACGGAGTCTCGCTCAGTCGCCCAGGCTGGCAGGTGCAGTGGCCGGATCTCAGTTCACTGCAGCTCCGCCTCCGGGTCCCGCCTATTCTCCTGCCTCAGCCTTCCCAAGTAGCTGGACTACAGGCGCCCGCCACTCGCCGGCTAGTTTTCTGTATTTTAGTAAGACGGGGTTTCACTGTGGTTAGCCAGGATGGTTCCTCGAATTCCTGACCTGTGATCGATCCGCCGTCTCACCTCCCAAATTCGCTTGGGATTCAGGCTTGAGCCACCGCGCCGCTTGTTTGCGCTACTTTCTAAAGCTCGGAGTTTCACTCTGATTGTCCATTTGCAATGGAGCAATCTCAGGCTCCTGCACCTCTGCCTCCCAGGTTCAAGCGATCTCCCTGCCCAGCCACAGAAACTGAGATTACGGTGTGCGCCCCAGGCCCAGCTAATTCTCTGTTTTTTTGTTGTGTTTGTTGCTTTTGTTGAGGACGTGGCTCGCTCTCCTCTCCGGCTGGAGTGCAGTGGGACTGATCTCAGCTTCTGTAAGGCTCTGCCTCCGGGTTCATCCGATTCTCCCTGCCTCCAGCCTCCAGAAGTAGCTGCGGGATACAGGTCGCCACCACCACGCACCGTATTTTTTGTATTTTTTGTAGAGATGGGATCTTCACCATGGGGTCTCACATCTCTGACCTCGTGATACGCGACTAGACTCCAAAGTTGCTGGGATTACAGTGTGAGCCCACCGTGCCCCCGGCCATCATATTTGTATTTTTAGTAGAGACAGGGTTTCACCATGTTGGTCAGGCTAGTCTCGAACTCCTGACCTCAGGTGATCCACCTTCCTTGGCCTCCCAAAGTGCTGGGATTACCCCAAAGCATGAACCACCGCCCCTGGCCTTATTATCTCCATTTGACAGATGAAGAAATTGAAATCTAAAGAGGTTAAGTACTCACTGAAAGGCACACAGCCTAAATTCCAATTCAGAGGCAGCCCGACTCCAGAGCCCACAGGTCAAGCCACTATACGATCAGAGGAGCAGTGCTGGCCCCAGGTACCAAAGTTGTAAACAGCACCAATGATAAGTTTATCACACAGTAGTTATTTGCTGTTTACAATGTACAGTCATATATTATTTAATCTACTTCTCTTACTGCACAAATAAAAAGCTAAGAATAATTTTTTCTCCTTTCATGGAGATGAAAAAAGGATCAAGTGAATATTAAAACAATATTAATGAAACACAGAAAGTAGATATATAAGAGAAGGCACAGCAGTGTAGCAAGAAGACTGAACTGCAGGTAAGAATCTGGGGCTTAGTTCTAGCTCTGCTATTAACTGTTGGTTGATCACGAGCAAGTCATGACCAAGCACCTCTGAGCTTTAGTTTCCTCATACCTAAAGAAGTTTGTCTCTGCTGTTTGAATGATGGTATCATTCTGTCTCTGCTGTTTGAATGATGGTATCCCCTCTGGAATTCATATTGAAACTTAATCCCAAGTGCAACAGTATTAAGAGGTGGGGCCTCTGGGAGGTAATTAACTCATGAGTACTCTGCCTTCATGAATGGGATTAGCATCCTTATAAAAGGGCTCCATATTGAAGAGAGTGCCCTCTTACCCTTCTGTCCCTTCTGCCATGTGAGGATACAGTGTTCGTCCCCTCTGCAGAATACAACAACAAGGCATCACCTTAGAAGCAGAGAGTAACCCACCTCATACACCAAAACTACCAGTGCCTTGATCTAGGACTTCCCAGACTCCAGAACCAAAACAAAGAGAAATAGGTTTCTATTTTTTATAAATTATCCAGCCTGTGGTATTGTACTATAGCAGCACAGACAAGTGACTCTCCAAAGGTCCTATCATGAACTTTTACACTCTATTACCATACAGGTTTATGATAGCATTTTAGATGACCTATGCTATAAAAATCCAAAATAGGCCAAGCATGGTGGCTCACACCTGTAATCCCAGCACTTTGGGAGACAGAGGCAGGAGGATCATGAGGTTAAGAGATTGAGACCATCCTGGCCAACATGGTGAAACCCCATCTCTACTAAAAATACAAAAATTAGCTGGGCGTGGTAGCGCACACCTGTAGTTCCAGCTACTCGGGAGGTTGAGGCAGGAGAATTGCTTGAACTCGGGAGGCAGAGGTTGCAGTAAGCCGAGATCTCACCATTGCACTCCAGTCTGGTGACAGAGCGAGACTCTGTCTCAAAAGAAAATAAAAAATGCAAAATAGGCTGGGATTACCTGCCTGTAATCCCAGCATTTTGGAAGGCCAAGGTGGAAGGATCATTTGAGACTAGGAATTTAAGACCAACCTGGGCAATATAGTGAGGCCCCATATCTACAAAAAATTAAAAAATTCCTCCTTAGTGATATTCTGAAGAAAAATAATAACATTTCAAACAAAGAAAAAATTTTATTACAATAAAAAAATCAGGCCAGGCACAGTGGCTCACACCTGTAATCCCAGCACTTTGGGAGGCTGAGGTGGGTGAATTGCATGAGCCCAGGAGTCCGAGACAAGCCTGGGCACCATGGTAAAACTCTATGTCTACAAAAAAATACAAAAATTAGCTGAGCATGGTGGCACACACCTCTAGACCCAGCTATTAGGGAGGCTGAAGTGGAAGGATTGCTTGAGCCTGGGCAGTTGAGGCTAAGTTATCCATGAAATGTGCCACTGCACTCCAGCCTGAGCAACAGAGTGAGACCTGTCTCAAAAAATAATAAGTAAAAATTTAAAAAATAATAAATTTTAAAATTAGCTAAGTGCAGTAGCACATGCCTGTAGTCCCAGCTATTCAGGAGACTGAAGTGGGAAGATTGCTTGAGCCCAGGAAGTCAAGGCTGCAGTGAGCCATGATTGCACCACTGCACTTCAGCAACAGAGTGAGACCCTGTCTCAATTTTTTTAATTTATTTATTTTGATACGGAGTCTCGCTTTGTTGCCCAGGCTGGAGTGCAGTGGCATGATCTCGGTT